ATATAGGTATTTAATTATCATTAGAGGGATCACCAGCAGGAGGAAGGAGGTCCTGATTCCCCTATATAGATTTTTAGTTAGACCACCTTTAGACTGCTGGAATTAAAAGCTGAATATCAACCAAAAACTATTTTGGTATATTTGCGCAGTAAAAATAAATTACCACTGGTAAAGTGTGCCCCGAATCTGGTTCCTGCGGCGTTTGTTAAATATTTAATCTTTCATTCGGCCTGCTCTCCCTGTCTAGCACTGATATTTCCACTTCTGCCTGTAGTACACTGATCACAGTGGGTCACCTGCTGTACCCCAATCTCCTTTCAGGAAAGTCCTTGCATTTATCTCAAAGAACGCAAGCCATTCTGTGATTGAAAGAAGTGCAGATGATCTTCTCTAATCACATAATCCCTTGCACTTCAGGGCCCTCCATACTGCAAGTGTTAAAGTGACACTAAACTCAAGAGTTAAATCCTAAAATTGAATTCAAGTACCTTAACTAATAACAAAAATGTATCTTATTTGTGTATCACTCAGCTGTAGATCCTAAAATCATCTCTGAATAGGTGCTGACACTGTCCTTCCTTCTGGAGGGTGGCTACTTTTGTTCCCCATGGTCCCTGTGTGTGTTGTAAAGTAGTCACCACTCCAAGCTCGCTCCCGTGATGGACTACAATCTCAATACAAATTAGTAATGTAAATGGTAGATTGTAGTCCATCACAGGTGCGAGCTTGGAGCGGTGACTACGTTACAACACACAGCTAATTCAACAATTATGTTACAGGGAGGACTGAGAAAAACAAAGACTAATGTGTTAATGCTGGTCACAGACTGCATCATATATGTCATTCGCCCATCGTTCCACTTTAAGGAACACTATCTTAGACTCACAGGCACTAGCTGTTTAACATAAAAGCAATCAAGTTGGTGTTTGCAAAGAAGATATATATAAAGAGTCCTCAAAACCAAATATTTAAAACAAATAAAGGCAAACAGATGCTGAACTAGTGACTCTGAGATTCAGGTGAGATTGGAATCTCTGATAAGTGCTGCAGTATATTTATTGAGACAAAAATAGAAAAATATAGATGGACAAATATATTTCCTGCTTGTAATGCACATCTCATTCAAGGACACATGAAGCACATCCTAGATCCAGCAGGACAGTCTACACTTACCACTAATGTTATCGTAAAGTATTTCGGCCAGATGTCCCCAATGTAAAACTGTAAGATCTCTAGCTGTAGCCTGTCAGATATTATTACACTTAGCTCGGAGATGACGCATGGCTCTGTTCAGCACAGTCCCTACAAAATACATTGTGTGACTGAAGAGCAGTGCTAGCTAGATCATGGCTCCCAGTGTAATTCTATTGCTTGTGCCATGTCAGATTTCTTATAAATTTGTTTGATGATGATATCCACAGTGAAATCTAATGTATGCGTGCCGGACTGAGCAATAGACAGGTACTTCGAAGCGGAACACTGCAGATATCCATATCCTGTCTGTGAAGATATCCTGGAAGCATCAGTCTTAGAACAGAATGTCATTTCAATGTGTCACTACAGACGTGTTTACAGCTTTGCCAAGTGTCCAAGTGGAAGTGCACAAAGCAATGCTGTGAATGGAGCAAGATGGATACACTCTAACAAAGCTGCGAGACAAGTAAAGATTCATGTTAAATACCCAGACGTATTGAGAGGTCCCTGTTTACATTGTGCATGGGCTGTTTAAGGACACACTTTGCCAGTCTTTAATAAGGCCTATTAACAATAATGTGTTGTAGTGCATTTAAAGTGGATCTGAACTCCAAAGATGAAGATTTTCTATCTTAAAAGAACACTTAGAAATGTTAATTGTGCCTAAGCAGTACCCTAAAAAAATCTACCCTTTGTCTTGAATTTCTCCTCAAAATTAGCAATTTACTTCCTAATATGTAAATGTACGTAGGCACTTGTAAGGTACTCACCAAGAGGCTGGTACGAGCACACGCACATGCTATGCCACGCGGTCCTGTCTGCAAAATTGTGGGCAAACATGCCCTGAATGATGGGTGTGTGCATGCTGAAAATTATGCATGCAAACATGTGCATGGAAATATGCGCATATGTGTGAACGGCAATATGTGTGCTGATGATTGAAACTTTGCACGCAAGCGTTAAGTCTTTGGCATCAGATGGACTATAAATGCAGTGTGAGTACTGAACCCATTGCTGACTGGTCTTCAGTTGTTACCTGTGTTCCTGTGGCCCATTCCTGTGATTCTGCTGACCTGTGTTTGACTCTGGCTCACGTTCCTGACCTCTCTCCTGACTTCTGATTTCAAATCTGCACAAGCCACTGCATCGGCACTTGTGCTTCCCTGCGCCCACACTCCTCTGTCTCCACATTCAAGGGAGTTGGACAAGTGGTGCAAGAGTAGCCCTTCTGTTCAGCTTGGCCTCCTTCTAGGTATGTGGACGCACTCCTTCGCAAAATGCCTCATGATGGTATATCCGCTGTGTTAGAGGAATTGCTGTATACAACTGCTAGTCTCATGAGACTTGGGAGTTATATTTGGTGAGGTCACTGCTGCGCTTGTCACTCTTCTCACTGCTGCAGAGGAAGCTGTACCTGAGAATCTACACTGAAAGGATCTTTTTGCTTCTGTCTCATCCATTCTGTGGATCTGTGCTTCCTCCACCTCTGCTGCTTCAAGAATATTTCCCCATCACTCATCAGATTATCAGATTATCATAAAATTATTGAAATCTTCCCTCAGGAGAGAGGTATAACTAAGCAGGGAATTAACTCAATAATTTATATGCAAAACATTCCTTTATTTCATCTTCACGCAATTACAAAAATCTATAACTACTTAACCATAAAAACACTTAAAAACTCACTCCAGTGCAATGCTCAATAATTCATATACAAAAACATGATTTCCCATTATCATGATTCTAAATTATATCCAACCTCCCCCTATGTTGATACTAATATTATTATCCATGGTGCATCAATATCAAATGAGTGAACAAAGATTCACTGGAGGCCCGTTTCAAATAGTGTATTTCATCAATTGCAATAACGTGCACAAATGTCTCACTACTTTCAACTGATTATATGGCCATTCCATATGAAAATCAAAATCTTACAAAATTAACCAGTATGATACGGTAGTTATTCAGAAATTACATTACCACATCCAAACAGCTATTGGGATTTCTTCAACATATGTAATCATTTATGCCTGTATGTCATAGGTTCCCAGCACGATTTAATGGAGTATGCATTCGTTTCCATTCGTATACATTCGAAAGTTGCTTGTCCTCCTGTGTATCAAAGCTATCAAAAGTATTCATATAAAGCAATCTTATCCATATATATTCATAAGTGGGTGCCGGGTTATTGGTGCACATATCATCTCAAAGTTACTCCAAAAGGTGCTTTAATCGTCTATATACCGATATTCATTGTCTCGTATCAACAATCTGTACTCCATCATTCCATAAACGCATCCAACACATGTGTGTCAGCATGTCCAAATCCAACCAAAGTATACCATATCAAAAAGAAAAATAACCCATATTTCATGCTTCTATCAATAATAAACATATTGGTCATATACTACAAAAAAAACAACTTTCTTAATATTTGTTTAATTAAACAAATAATTACAAAAATAAGTCATGTGCACGTAGGTTAAATGAGATCCACATTTTAATCTGTAAACCACAACAGCAGACATAGATTCCCAAAGGATCTCCTACCAAATACCTTCATTACAAAAAACAACTGAATTGAATCATTCCATTGATCCCTGGCTCCTCAAAGGCCTTCACTTGGTGTATCCATCTACACTCTTTTAGTAATAATAATTTATCCCAATCACCACCATGATTTGCTTGATGTTCCCTATTCAGGACAAAGAAACAAAGCTTTTTTACATTTCCAGCATGATTAAATACCACATGTCTAGCCACAAGGGACCTAAAATTCCATGCTTTAATATCCCCGAAAAAAGTAATTTCCTTGCAAAAAAGATGAATATCTTTAATAACCTCAAATTTGTCAAGATTTGTTTCAGGAAAAAAGTTTAAACTCTTAGATATTGCTTCATATTGTTCATATGAGAATGAAACAGGGGTTACATTTATAACTTGTAAGCGCCCTTTTACAGGTGTTTTAGCAGATATTGGTCTATGTTCATGTTTTTTTACAACTTGAGACCCTGGTAAAATGTTTCTATATGTAAATTCAATTGCTTACTCATATGATCAAAACCTTCCATATTTCTACACTCCTCCAAAGTTCTATTTAACTCATTAATTTGTTTATTTACTAAACTAATTTCATTATCATAGTATTCCACCAACATAATCATCATGTTTTTAGTGCCAATATTAAAATTATGTTCCCACTTTCCATTAGATCAACAGTCATCAAATGTTCAGCTCTGACATGTGTACCCTGTTCCTCTACCAAGATGGCCACCTCCACATAGTGACACATTCTTTAGAGTGCAAAATAAGATATGGTAAGCTAATAATGGGGAAAAGATCAGCTGCAGGGAGCCTACTGGCAATACTGGTGAGAAGTTCTTTGTCATTTCCTTGCCATTTGGGCACAGCTTCCAGAGTCCAGGTCTTCTTTAATAAGGCCTATTTGCATTAATGGGCTGTAGTGCATTTTAAAGTGAACCTGATGTGTCCTAAAACATTTCTATGGTAACAACAGTGTTGATTTGCAGGCACCTTTTAGCTGGGCGGGGCTTCGTCTTGACTTGAGTGGAAGGTGAGTCTTCCTGTACAACCTGGACCTAGGCTTCACCAGCACACAGAGATCAATTCAAAGACTAAGAAATGTACTTACAAGCTCAACAGGGTACTTGCAATTCAACATTGTTGTTACCATTTTAGGGCAGGGTAGGTTCAGTTTAAAGAGGTCCTGACAAGAAGTAAGGTAAAAACTCTCGATCAGCCACAAATAAAAACTTGACACCAGCTTCCTCTGTATCACATACCTGTTCAGGGTATTTACTTCCAACAATCTCTGCCACCGTATTAAAGGAATCAGCATCAGGATGCTGGACAGCTCCCATGTTCAGCTGCACCACTATTTTGACACCACGTGATGACAATCGAGCCATCAGTTCTGCATCTTCTACTGTGATGCATGCGGTAGGGATCTTGGGAACACCGTTCTGGTAATCCTGCCATCCTGTGTGTGGGCTGCAAGACAAAACCAAAATAACAGAGTATCACTATTTACATAAACTGTATACTATACAGGTGAAACTCGAATAATTAGAATATCGTGCAAAGTTCATTTATTTCACTAATGCAACTTAAAAGGTGAAACTAATATATGAGATAGACTCATTACATGCAAAGCAAGATAATTCAAGCCGTGATTTGTCATAATTGTGATGATTATGGCTTACAGCTCATGAAAACCCCAAGAACCCCAAATCCACAACCTCAAAAAAGTAGATTATTACATGCAATCAATAAAACAAGGATTGTACATAGAACAATATCGGACCTCTGAAAAGTACAAGCATGCATATGTACTCAGTACTTGGTTTGGGCCCCTTTTGCAGCACTTACTGCAATTACTTTTGCACGATATTCTAATTATTCGAGTTTCACCTGTACATATAAATTAATTGCATTATACAGCTAAACAAATTGTTGGACTCTCTTGATCCAGTACCATGGCTGTAACACAGTTTTGCTAACCATTTTTCAAATTCATGTAATGGTGGTATCCAACTGGATTTTAGATTTGCAACCAAATTAGTGAGGGATGATTGTATTCTATGGATTATTGCACATTTCAGGACATTAACACTGCCTTTGTATGTAAGCTTACAAGTAAATCTCCAACAGGTACTCCAAAAGGCAAAATACATTGACTTGTGGTCAATGATAATAATAAGAAGAAAATGTTAGGTGGTTTAATCTACCAAAATACTGAAATATGTGAAGTGGGTATAATGATCCTTTAGCATTCAATGTTTATTAAGGTTTTTAGAAAGGTGTACAAATGAAAAAAGAAACAATATCTTATAGTAAGTAATACATGTCATTTTCGAGAAAGCAGAAATATACTTCAATTCGAACAACCTAACCCAAACTGTCCGAAGACTCACTAGTTGGTAAAATGAATGGAATAACATACATATATACTGTATATGATGATATAGTGGTATAACAACCTCATCCTAAAATACTTAGAAAGAGTCATAGACCCCAATCATGGGAGGTAATCATTCAAAATAGGTAATGAAAATAGGCAGTTAATCCTCCATTGCAGGACTCTAAATGTATGATGAATAATAAGAACACAAAATGCAACATGACCCGAAGTAGGGGGATCTATAGTAAGGTCAGGGTATCACTAATCTAGTGAAACATAGAATAAGTAAGGAAAATACAGAACAAGAAATAGGTAAAAAGAACAAACAGTGTAAAGAAGAGCTAAAATAGGAAGGAAGATAGAGAAAAATAACATTAGAAAAGTTCCTCCTCTGGCGGCTAAGGAATCTACAACTAAAAGAGTGTAACTCAAACTGCAGGATCAACTGTGGGGGAGGAAGGGAGTACGTTTGTAAACACAGAGGAAAAATGAATTCCATCCAATAAAACCATGTTTTATTAAATTTGTCAGAAGTCCCTTTCTTAGTTGCAATCAAATCCTCCATTCACCAGATCACCCTCCCAAGCCACATAGCAGTAGTAGGAGGTTTGGTGTTTTTCCACAGAGTCGGAATGCAGCTCCTTGCCGCATTAACGAGATCTGGAAGAACAGATTTCAAATAGGTTTTCTTTGGAATGTCATGATAATGTAAAAGGTAGGATCCTTTAAAAAAAAGTAAAGCCCCACTTGAGGCAAAATAACTTTTGAAATACCTTGTCTAGCGATGTTTTACTCACCGATGTTCACTATCTGGGTCCCTCACTGTTTTCATTTCAGGGGGTGCAGGGGAGAGGTAACCCAAGATGCCATCTGACCATAGATTTAGTAAATGAAGCATTCAGGTGTTTTTTTTTTTCCGATACCAGCAATTAGTTTGAGGAGGCTGCAGGGATAGAGGTGGGCGGCAGACTGTAGAATAACATTAAAGTATATCTAAATCCTAACTGGGTAGATGGGGATGTCATTCATTAGTTGACTAAAGCCCTGTATTGCATATACAAAATTGCCTTTTTTTCTATTAATCTACACTGGAAGAGCATATTGGCAACAGTTGGAATAAAGAGACAGAGGGATGGAGTCTCGTCACCCACTAACAGAAAGTACCTGAATAAGGACCTTTATGGCATGATCACCTTTACTACTTGCCCTGTAGACACACCAGGAAGTGAGGGAAAATCTCTCCAAAAGTTGCCACCAGAACAAGTGTGTTTGCTAAAATATTTCTTCTCTAGTCCTGTTCTGGACACACTCATATTTTGGATTTTCACTCACATTCAGTCCGGGTGACAATGATCACAAGGACACATAGAGGGGACAGAAATAGTAAAAACCAGAAAGGGGTTCTAACCGCTCACTACTCTATCCAAAACAATAGAATCTGGAGCAGTTCTCCATAGTAACCAATCAGCTTCTATCTTCAGTTTGTTCAGTTAAGCTCTGAAAATTAAAGAGAGAAGCTGATTGGTTACTGCTCCAGATACTGTCTGCTCCAGTTTTGATAAATCATGTCATTCCCATTCTATTTGATAGTTATGTTTGTGGTTGTTGGGCTTCAAGGTAAATTGACAGAGCTGTGCCAAGCTTGGAACATCTCACAACTACCTGTAAAGGGGAAAGGATGATCCTAAAAGGAAGAGGAGTAAGCCACAGAAACAATCATATTCTCGCTTTAATTCCCCTACAACTACGGAATAAAAAAAAGAGGCATTGTAGTTGATTTACTAAAGGCAAATAGGCGCTTTATATTAAACAAAATAGTTTGCGCTGGAAGTAGGTATGTTGGCACCAGCCGCAACAATGTATGTATAGATGTAAAATGGAAGGCTTAATATAGATTGTGTTCATTTAAATAGGCGCTTTCCTTTGCAATGGAATTTGCACTTTGCAAGGGAAGTTTCAATTAGATTCGTGAGTGTGGTGAAATTTCAGTTTGTAGGGAATAACCAGTCATGTGGAAGGAAAATTAAAAAAACAGTATTTGTGCTTGCACGTGATCGGGTGATAGAAGTCAGCAGAGCTTTACCTCATTAACTAAGCTAAAGGGAAACTTCTTCTGCACAAGTGTAGATTCCCTTGCAAAGTTAACAGCCTATTTGCCTTTATTTAATCAGCCCCATTTAGTTATTGCATGCAAAAAGGGGCCATAGTGGTTCCATAACAAGATGGTAGCTGGAACCCAAATTTTTGCTAAGACTGGAAAAATATTATCAACAGCGCACAGGGTCAATCAATGAAGCTCATTACACTAATGTAATGTAATACAGCATATCATACCAAGTTTATACCTATTTTGACATAACATATCTAATGACCATTAATTGAGCCTGTGTCTATTACCTCATTGTCCTATAATCTGACTAACACCCTTTTTATAATAATACAAATCATCTTATATTTCCTTTGATTTTGATTAATCAGTCTACAACTATAATAGAACTAGCAAAGCATTTAAACATTTCTATTGGTTTAAGAGGAATTTTTTGGTCATGACTTATTGTGGTTGCCAAATTTCATTATAAAAATAAAGAATAAATCAAAGGCAACAGAAAATGAGAACTATCAGTTCTAACCAACAGAACTAAAAGTTCCTCTAATAACATAAAGGAATAAAATAAGCTAAATCATTGTTATGATTTTCTTTTCTAATATGCAGAATGGTTATTTTCATGAAACCATTCTGTTTCATTTAAGTCTGTCTCTTTTATTTAAAGACTTAAGGGCCCTTTACCCATGAATCATGGTTCTAAACATAGAAACCAATCCTGCATTTTACAGAACAAAAAAAAGAAAAAAAAAGGTCAAAAACTAAAATCCAACATCTACTGGACAATACGCATAGGCTGGGACCTGTCTAGACATTGATGGATAAATAAAGCAGGCTTCCCATTTGCAGTGAAATTTACAATTATACTGCCGTAACGATAATAGCTGGCTATATATTCCTGCACTCTTTTGGGGACAATTACTTCAACAGCAGAAGTTCTAAATTAATCTATTTAGGAGCCAAGAAAGAAATCAGCATAAAAGCATTCATCCAAAAGTCTGTGAATCCACACAAAATTGGACTTAGTGAAAAAAAAAAACAGTTTTATGACTTGATATTTAAAAATTTAATTGAATGCCGGCATAACTCTCAGAACATTTCATTATAGTTTACTCTATAAGTATTCTGACTGTACTAATAGTAATAACTACAATGTGTGTGCAAAATAATTTCCCATTAACAGAAATTAATTGAAAAATTGCAAAGCATCGGAATGTCTCTAACCTGCCAGTCAGCTCTAAAGCCGGATATGTGCTGGTAAAGAAATTACATAATTATAAAAAGCACACAGGTACATTAAATGCCATTTACTAACGTAGGAATTAATCTGATCCTAAAGTAGATCTAAACATTAATTGGATGACTTTTAGTTTGTTAAATAACTTTGTTAATAATTATTTGCTAACTTTTTTTCATAAAAAATAGTTTTCATTTTTTTCAATTCTTTTTTTCCTATCTCAGTGCTGATCATTTCTGGCCTTTAATCAACCACTTCCTGTCTACATGCATGCGCTCAATCAATGTTCTGGACCAACTTCCTCATACTGACCACAGTGGATCATGTGTGTTCCCTTTGCGTTGGCAAGGATGCTTGTAATCTCCTCCAGGAGTGCATGTGACAGGGTGACAATGCAGGAGCACAATTAGGAGCAGGGGTGTGGAAATTTTTGAAAAAACTACTTGTCCAAGGACTAATGCGGGGGCCGAATCTACTTGTCACTCATGACAATCTACTTGTCCTGATACAAAAAAAAATAATTTTAACTGATTGTTGTTAATTTTTTTTTTTAACTTTATTCTGCATATAACATTTAAAAGTGTAATTTCATAAGAGGGTGTGTTTAGGGGTGGAGTTAAGGCCAGGGCAGGGTAAGGGTTAGGTGGGGCAACTGGTGGCGAGTAACTCTTAAGGCCTGGCTTGTAGCTCAGGACTTGAAATTTTGAGCCCTGGTCTAGGCGATATGATCATCAGCTGCCCCAGTAGCA